TTATTTCCCAGCTGTTTACCTTCACAGACATAACCCACTGTTTTTGTAACTCATGTGTGCTTTTAACGTAAACTTGTGTGAAAGAGAACTTAGTTTAGTACTCACATGCTGTGACAGCTGCTTTCTGTGCGTGTGCTTCGGATGTGTGCGCTCAGAAAACCTTATATCTGAAGTTTAAACTCATGTGGTTTAAAACGCATGAATTTCAGCGTGATAAACATGATAATCAGAACCAAAACAGATGTTTTTAGCAGGCACAGCTGTAATGACACAGCTCTGTTCTGGAAAAGGGGGCGGGGAGCAGCAGCTCATTTGCATTTAAAGAGACAGGCCCGAGAAACCAGCGTGTTTCTGCTTCCACTCAAAATAGGCATTTTCAAAATGAGATAATAAATGATCTGTGGAGTATTTTGAGCTGAAATTTCACAGACACATTCTGGGGACACTAGGGACTTATATTACATATTGTAAAAAGGGGCATAATATGTCTCCTTTAAGCAAAGATAGTACCAGTCTTACGCGGGCACGGCATGCAGCGTAGATTTTGTTTTGTGTGAAAATATGGCAGAAGGCAGTGAAAGGTTTTACAACCGAGTGATGAAGGAAATTATAATGAATTGAATTATGAATGAATTATATGAATGCATCTCTAAAGGGAACCGACTCTCTTGCGAAAATTTAGGATGGCAGTATTTTTCTATACTGCCAGTGGTTACCATGGAAACAGCTTTATTTCTGTTGTTCCAGGAGTGCCACCTGCTGTCAGACAGTGGATTTACATTTGTATTCAGCCCGTTTGCCATGTTTGTTCAAAGCAGTGCATTGGAAAATAAGTTAATGTGCATTCTAAAAATCTAAGCAATTCAAATAATAATGTATAGTGTTATTAACAGAGCTGATAAAACACCTATAACCATTCATCATTTTGATTACTAACCTATTTCTTAAAAATGGCTTACAGCCTGAAATGTCAGATTTATCTTTTTTTTTTTAACAAAACTTTTTTAACATGTAATACATGTTAGTAGATAACATATCATGTTGTAGTCACTCAACCATCATTGATAATGTCATTATTTTATGTTTCTGATGTTGTTGCATTTATTAAAACCTTAACAACTGATTTGGTTGGGGTTGGGGGTGAAATAGGGGTCACCTGAAAAAAAAAGGGTTGGGAACCATTTTTCAAAGACTATAGATAATAATGGGCATAATGTGCTTCTGCTTTCAATCACTAAATGACAGATAACCATCAAATAACTTCAATCACCAAGTGACAATGAATACAGCAACAGAAGAAACAGATACAGAAAACAGTGAAACAAAAGTAAAGTACTGGTAAGTACTAAATCTGCATAATTTGTTGCATAGGATTGCTGGTATTAAGATACCTTATTATTATTCATAATTTTCAAACCTTACTCAAAAGTGCTCAAGTTGTTGGAAAATAGATCAAAGGATTGTTTTACGGCTGTTTAAGATTCTTTATTTCAGTTGCTTTGGATTGCAGAAGTGCTTCTGTTGCCCAAAGGCTTGTCGCCTTTTCTCTGGCAACAAATTCAAACACTAAAAAAAAAAAAAAACTCAACATAAAAAATGCAAAAAATCAGTAAAACTGTAGGCAATTAATATGTATGTTAACTAAACTAATCTATTTACTAAAGGTCTGGTATGGCATGTGTATACACTGATCAGCTTCAACATTAAAGCTACTGCCAGGTGAAATAAATAACATTGATTGTATCGCTACAATGGCATCTGTCAAGGCGTGGGATATATTAGGCAGCAAGTGAACAGTCATTGCTTGAATTTCATGTGCTGGAAGCAGAAAAAAAACTAAATAACATTTATTGTGTGTGTCCTCGCTCATAATAAAGTCTACTGAGACACACACTTTCAAAAGGGCATCGTGTTCCACCATGAGGAATGATAAAACTACTCAACGTGGGTTGCTGAAACATGATATTCAATAATCCAAAGGCTTCTCAAAAAGCACAGACAGATAAACCATCTTCCTGAAGAAGGGAAATCTGAGGAGTGATGTTGCAGCCGTGTGTTTTTGAGGCACTGGAGACGCAGTGCCTCGGTGGGCGGAGCTTGCAAATTCTCATGATTCTAAACTGACTTCAGACATTCATCACACCTGAAGGGTGTATGCGTAGCTACTAATGTATGCTACTAACATAGCATTGAGTAAAAATATGAAAGGAACCCATCTAACTTTATTTTTTATACCTATACAACACAGTGGCACTATAAGCGTAAAGGAGGTCGCACACCGAACGTGAAGTTAACAACTATTTGTGACTAATATCATGCAGTTTAGTGGAAAACTGTGAGTGGTGCTCTGTGGCCCACTGGGATTTTGAACAGCCTCTTAAGTCGTAGCTGGGAGCTGCAGACAGACATTGATGGCGCCGCCGATGTGCCAATTAGACAAACAGTTGTACCTTTCACATTTTTACTGAAAGCATTGAATAATCATTGTCAGAGCACGGTATAAAAAGTAAGTAAACTCTTGAATTTAGTAACTTGTCAATTCTCTTTTAGCTAAGACCCTTCTAAAAACATTTTCTGTAGTTGTTTATTTTATTTTTGTATTTAAGTTTATTTTTTTGACCATCTCTCCCCACAAAGCTGTTTCATTTTATGAATATTTCTAGGTTGTCTTGAAAGCTCTGCTCTCTTTGCATCTGAACTGGCTTAAGGTCAGGACTCAGGAAAACACATATTTTACCTTTAGTTGATTTACTTGTGTGCTTTGGATCGCCTCTTAGAATGTATTGTTTTTTCAGTGCTTGCACAGCGTCCAAGCCCTGGACCAGCAAAGCAGCACTAAACCATATTGCTCCTTCCAGCATACTCTGCATTGAATAATCATTGTCAGAGCACGGTATAAAAAGTAAGTAAACTCTTGAATTTAGTAACTTGTCAATTCTCTTTTAGCTAAGACCCTTCTAAAAATATTTTCTGTAGTTGTTTATTTTATTTTTGTATTTATTTAAGTTTATTTTTTGACCATCTCTCCCCACAAAGCTGTTTCATTTTATGAATATTTCTAGGTTGTCTTGAAAGCTCTGCTCTCTTTGCATCTGAACTGGCTTAAGGTCAGGACTCAGGAAAACACATATTTTACCTTTAGTTGATTTACTTGTGTGCTTTGGATCGCCTCTTAGAATGTATTGTTTTTTCAGTGCTTGCACAGCGTCCAAGCCCTGGACCAGCAAAGCAGCACTAAACCATATTGCTCCTTCCAGCATACTCCATAATTGGGAAGAGGTTTTAGTGTTGATGCCCCTTTTTCTTTTAAAAAACGTGTGAATTATCTATAATGTTCTGACTCCTTTGTTTATTTGCATGTCACACGTTAACCAGTATTTCTTGAGAGCTACCTTTATTTGAAGGGCAGGATAACTGTGAAATTCACACATCCCAAGTCCTTAATTGAATACAATTAGCTTTTGAGAAGTTGTAACACGGAGGGTCATTTACTTTTTCCAGCCTGCCCTGTCAATGACATGTCCAACTGTTTGTGTGTAATTAATCATATTGTGTTCGTCTATGACTGATTTGAAGATCAGAAGCTCCAGCATGGTTAGAAAGCTTTATTATTCATTATTAGCATTCCAGCGACCTGACATTTGAGTAAGCAATATAAAAATCTAGATATTTTCAAACCGTTCACAAACGTATTTTTGATACTGTATATATACACATACCATGTTAGGCATCATTTTTTTAGTTTGTTTTAATTCTCTTTTAACTTAAAAAGGTATCTCAGCAATCATGCCACAAACAAATCATTGCGTGCCACATTATTTATTTACTAATTAATTAATTTTACATTTACATTTATTCATTTAGCAGACACTTTTATCCAAAGCAACATACAAGCGATTAATCAATACAAAAAGTGCTCATAAATAAATACTGCATTAAACAGGTGGCAAAACTAAAATAAATTGTAATGCAATCATTAAGTTTAATCTACCAAAGCTTAGGATGCTTTTGGGAAACTAGGTTCAGAATGTTCTAGCAGCCGTATAGCAATGAGCTATGCAGTTTTAAAATGCATTAAAAAACAAAAAAAGTGTAGTATGTTTTACCATTTACATTTCATGGATTTCTGCAGATTGTCCTCCACAAGTTAAAATGCTGAAAGTAAAATACCATAGATTGCATTTTTTTTTCTTTATAGGTACGTTCTGCAGCCAGAAAACGTTGGCACCGCTGGCAAGACAAACACTCGCTGCGAGTCAGAGTGGCGAGAGCCATGTCCATCCCCACCTCCCCCACCCGCATACAAGCGATTAATCAATACAAAAAGTGCTCATAAATAAATGTTTCATACATTGTTTAGAATAGAACAAGCAAGAGCATGGAGGAATTAAGTGAAACATATATATACAGTGGGTACGGAAAGTATTCAGACCCCCTTAAATTTTTCACTCTTTGTTATATTGCAGCCATTTGCTAAAATCATTTAAGTTAATTTTTTTTCCTCATAAATGTACACACAGCACCCCATATTCGAGTCAGAGTGGCGAGAGCCATGTCCATCCCCACCTCCCCCACCCGCATCAGCTTTCACAGCATCAAGCAGACCACAGCCGTCTGACCTTTACGCAATAGCTTTTCCTCTTTTATAATTCAGCCACACAGTTGGACTGCAAGTGGCACGAGAGACCAAGTGATTGTTTTTGGCCTTTGATGGTCAGGAGTGTGACATCTGACAAGCAGCAAATTTAATTTATATCTCTTGTGTAATTTTGACAATGGCCCCTGAATTGAAGGGTTTTAACTGAACTGGTGAAATGTTTCTTTTCACTCAGCAGATGCAACCATCCAGAAGACCCTAACATCCATTTCTATCTATCTATCTATCTATCTATCTATCTATCCACCCAGCCACCGCCAGCATTTTGATAATTTCACAGAAATTTTAATGGCCCCTGGAATATTTTGTTGTATGAATATCTGAACATGCAATGTCAAAAGAAATAACAGAGCCTCTGCTCGAGTTTTCATGCATTCTTGTTTTATCTACACTTGTATGTGGGCAAGTTTTATGTAAAAAAAAGCAACATTTTGAACTTTTTTTTTTTTGTCGAAGACCACGTCTGGATTGGATTCAGAATGATGATCAAGAAGATCTAGATAGAGTAGATCGAGATGTTGTAGTCCATCAACACCCACAAAGCTTCACAGTCCTAAACCAATTTTTTTGTCGTCATTTCATTCGGTAATATTAGGCAGTTTTGATCTATATGCTGTTGTAATGTAATGTTTGATGATTGCATTATTTTACATGTGCATCTACTTACATGTGCGATCGCTTGTTCTTTCTGCTTCTTCACTGTTTTGATCCAGACATTCAATATTACTTCAGAAGATATTTAATAGCATCCAGTAAAAACATGGAAGGCCAGAAGATTCAGTCTCCTAAATGACAAAAAATTGGTGGGGAAATAGTTAAATATTCCTGGTAGCTGACTATGCCACCTAGAGTTGGTAAAGACACTCCAGGAACTTAATACTTTTTAGGGCAGGGAACGGATGAGCACTCAGCACACTGATCGGGCAAATCAATTCCCAGAGTTCTATTATAAAGGGATCTAAAGTTCAGTCCACACTTGGCATCTGAATCACACTAGGAACTAGAGTCTCCAGATCTCTACACCAGCAGCAGATAAGGCAACCTCTGCTATCCAGTCCAAACATTATCCAGCACTGGTGAAATACATTAACATTCAGTCTGATATCTGCAGTAACTGCTCATCAACCTGCCTCACCCTCCGTTAATCCAGCGGGGCTCCGCCGCTCACTCACTGCTCACAGTCAAACACATGGAGCCTTCATACAGCATTCTTCATCTAAAGCCAGTGCAAATGGCATCTCACTCTGGACATCGTTCTTTCAACACTTGCAAGGGCCAGTGCTTCATGGTATGACTTCCATAAGTCCTCTCAGTTTGAAGCTAGACAAACCATCTAAAACGGACACTTGTGTGTATTGGAGTCAGTCATTGGTCAGGATTTCTACAAATCTGTTACAAAACCGAAAAGCTTGAATATGCTTGCTGTTCACTGCGTCAACTGGATGAGTGCAAGCAATGAAATTTTTTCTTGTCCAGCCTTGGACTTCGCTGCAAAATCAAAACTAGCATGCGGTGCCACCCAACATTGTCCTTTCCCAAGCTTGGCTATCTGCAGTTGGGTCACCAGATTGTTATCCGTAACCACAGTAAACCTTGATCCAGAGTGGCAAACTTTATGAATGTATAGTTAGTTTGTTACTGGGTGAGACCTTTTAACCAGCCTTATGTCGTTGAAAAAGTTCCATTTAAGTGTTGATTTAATTGAACAGAGCCTGCAATAATCAGACCTAGTCAGGCAAGTCCAGCTGAATGCAGTTTCATTGATTTGGAGATTATGGGGTATTTACATGACACCGTTTTCAATTAAATATGGAAAACTTAAACATGGTAACCACAAATTAACCATGGTTTTGCAACACTAATCATAGTTTAACCATGGTATTTATAGTAAAACTGTGGTTATACAAATAGCAATCAATCAGCCAAAAAATAAATAAAAAATGGTTACTACACTTTTATTATAATAAAACCATGGTTAATTTTTGTAAGGGTTTTTATGCGTTTTGGCTGTTCATTTACACTGCAACAGAATTTTTGGAGACTGAAAACACAAACTTTTGAAAACAGGTTTCAAAGTGAAAGTTTTTGAAAATGCCATTATTGTCTGTGTAAACTATAAAACCGTGAATATGTGAAAACTGTGATGTTGTGAGCATATGTATTGTGTTCAGTCTATAGGAATGTGTGCAGGCACATAGTGTTTCTCTACAAAATCTACTGGCCTATCATGAATAATACAGTGTTTTTAGTCGTTTTTGCCGATCCCTGTGAAAGGTGATAATTTTGACAATGTTGTTTGACAACTTTTCAAAAACATAGAGGGAAAACGTTTCCATTTTTAGTACAATTATTGTTGTGTAAACATACAGAAAACTACATTTTCTATCTATCTGCCTATCAATCTATCTATCTGTCTGTCTGTCAGTCAATCATCTTCAAAGCTTTTTTTAAATTAGTAAAGGCAACATCAAGTTTAGGTCCTTTGGTTTATGATGTATGTGATTATAAAAGAAAATATAAAATATGTAAGGTTTTATTACTCCTAGACTGTTGGTCTAATTTGCATGAAACTTGGAAGGCTACCTATCACCTGTAGACCCTCATGACAAATGTTATCAAAGAATTTTGATACATCAAAGCAATGCGAGGATATAAGGAAATTAAATGTTCATGCGTCACCAGTTTTTGTAAATTGACCCTTATCTGCCAAACACCAATGTTCAAACTTAACAATACTGGATACAATGCTGACAGGTTATTCTGAAGACATACAGCAAATTGTCAAATTCCGGACATAGGGGGCGCTACAAATGAAAACGCTTGTAACACCGCAGCCATGTCATGAAACAAAGTGCAAAATTGATTTTCTTGCTTTTGGGTCACGTGCTAACATATTCTTTGAAAATCACTTGGACAATTGAACAAACATGAACGTCAGCAGCCAATCAAATTTCAGCAGCTGGTAATGTCAAATCAAAATGCTGACCAATATGAAAACAGACATATTCACTAGTAAAATGTACAAATCTTCCGAAATCAGCCACAAAGTGGCACTATAATATGCAACTTTTATGTTTTTGCTCTGTTTCACACACGCTAAAGTCAAAGTAGTTGTTTCTTCTGAATACTTGCATCAAGCCCAATTTTTATTTCAATAATGTTTATCCGCCATTCTAACTTTTTTTTTTTTTTTTTTAAGAAACTTACTTTTTTAAGAAACTCCTTCTAGGCCATTCATGAGATCTTCACCAAACTTTGTACACATCAGCTATAGATTGTACGATCTCTGAAATATCAGTCATTTATATCAATGGGAATGATAGATAAAGGCCAGAATACTTATGTTCTCCTCCAGAGGGAGCCACAGGATAACAAATACCTTTGGGTCTCAGCGATTAAAATCAGTGTAAATGGTTTAATAGATGGACTTGTAGTAAATAAATAAATCTAGTTTTAGTTTAATGAAGTTTAAACATTTTTCATAAAAAAATCTGTGATCTCCAAAATACTTATTTTTATATATCCTAATGATACTGAAAACGCATTGTCTAGTTGGAAGACATCACTGAATGTATTGCTGTCCAATAAAAATCCAAATGACAAGTAATAATACTTCCATAAAGAGACACTTAATAACTCATATTATATTGGAATAGTCACAAGGCCATTGTATCACCATATCATCTACAAGAGCTGTTGGTGTGCGTGTGTGTGTGTAATATATCCTTCATTCGTGTAAATAGACTTTATATGAGGAAAGACATTATTTTATTTTCAAATGAACTGATTAATCAAGCTCTGTGCGAAACTTGATCTCGACACGTGTTATTAAGGTTGTTAATATGATTTAAGTGATGATGAATTTCCAGTTATTTATCAAGATTGTACAGTGATACATGATTTTCATACCTTTAAATAAAAATTTGTAAAAACTAGTTGGTCAAATTAATTATGTAGAATAGATAATAGAAGGGTGAAACTTTCTCCTGTATATTTGCCAAAGACAATACACTTTCATTTTAATTTCATTTTAAATTAATTTTGTAAATTAATTATATTTATATTTGTTTTCTTGTGTTTGATTTTTTAACATACTTTGTATATAATGTATTTTCTGTAATTTAATGAAAAACCCCAAATGCCTTAAATTGTGAAAGTATGAGGATGTAAACAATGTACATAAATGTACAATCAGTGTTATTGCTCTGTTTTATTATAAAACATTGCGAGAAAGAGCCTCTCTTGTCTGATGACACTTCATTCATGTAGTCATTAGCTAACATTAGTTGCTGATTACATCAGACTGATGATCTGTGCAGGATTCAGGAGACTCCTTTTAATGCCTCTAAACATACTTGACACCAACGTATCAGTAAAAAAAAAAAGAAAAATCTATGAAATGTAAAATTGCTAGATTGCCACCAAACAGAAACAACTTGATTTTTTTAAAGAAACATATCTGAAAAGAGTATGTCTACAGTGTATATCTACATGTATATCTGACCTCAAGGAGTGTTAAATCTTGGTTTAAATATTTTGTTTTGATTAAGTCAGGGGAATGTGTCGGTTACGTATGTAACCCTCGTATGTAACCCTCGACTGACAAATTGGGATCTCGCTAGAGAGACCAATCACCTTCGAGTGTTAACAAAACAAGTCAATAATTGTTGGCATGCGATCTTTGTCTCATGCACCCCGCCCTGCAGCACAGGTATATAAGGAGAGCACGTGCAGTCGCACATTCAGATTTTCGCTGAGGATCCGAGACGGTGTGCCTCAGCCGTACAGCGGTGGTACAGCAACTGTGTCAATAATTGTTGGCATGCGATCTTTGTCTCATGCACCCCGCCCTGCAGCACAGGTATATAAGGAGAGCACGTGCAGTCGTACATCTCAGCCGTACAGCGGTGGTACAGCAACTGTGGCAACGGGACGTAACGTCTCCGTTCCCTCCTTCAGGG